AGGGACCTGGGGTCTGCTGGTGCTGGTGACGAGCCCCGTGCTCTGACGGAGGGACCTGGGGACTGCTGGTGCTGGTGACGAGCCCTGTGCTCTGACGAAGGGACCTGGGGACTGCTGGTGCTGGTGACGAGCCCCGTGCTCTGACGGAGGGACCTGGGGTCTGCTGGTGCTGGTGACGGGCCCCATGCTCTGACGAAGGGACCTGGGGACTGCTGGTGCTGGTGACGGGCCCCGTGCTCTGACGGAGGGACCTGGGGACTGCTGGTGCTGGTGACGGGCCCCGTGCTCTGACGGAGGGACCTGGGGACTGCTGGTGCTGGTAACAAGCCCCGTGCTCTGACGGAGGGACCTGGGGACTGCTGGTGCTGGTGACGGGCCCCGTGCTCTGACGGAGGGACCTGGGGACTGCTGGTGCTGGTGACGAGCCCCGTGCTCTGACGGAGGGACCTGGGGACCGATGAAGCCGGCCGGCCGCCAGGTAGTGCAGCCAGCGGGTGGCTCTGGCCCCAGCAGAGGACACAGACGCTCTTTGCTGACCGTGTCGGCCTGCCAGGCCAGGCACACATGGCTCCGGAGGGAGGGAACTCGACCGACTGTTTACGTGGCATTCCACGTCTGGACAGTTCACCCACAGCAACTGAGAACAGGCTGAGCATCTGGCGTCTGGACGGTCCAGTCGCGGAGACTGAGAATACCGCGCTAACGGTATTTGGAACAGTGCTAAATGACTGTGGCCCGGAGAAAAAAGGGGCACAGGGCAAGTTATCTATATGCTATATATACTATATATCTATATACTATAGATACTCGTCCGGTTATCAGTTTAGCATGGGAATGGGGTTAAAATTTTGTTGTGTGCCAATACGTACGTACCTTTTTCGTGAAAATCTCTACATCGTGGCTCTTCCGATTTTTGAGTCGGTTCAGGTTATCACCGCCACAAGGACAAGTCATAAGCCTTACGAAGGACACTTTTCGGATGAATGGGTGTACACCGGTTCAGCCCAATATTCGGCGGTAGTTGGAATTGAATTGTCAGTTTCCAGTGAATTAGTCCTTATAGTAGATAAATTGAAGTTACAGACTCCTATACGATCCGTCTATTCCAACAACATCGAGCTTTATCCGATGCAATTCATCATGCCATTTACGCGTGATGAGTTGCTGTTACCAGAACGTGAAGGCCGAAAGCCATTGGCCAGATAAAATATGCATCAAACAACTACGTTACATGAAAAGACAAAGTCAACTGTGCAATGTAAGATAACAGAGCAACCATGCTATTTTATGTTGGCATTGGGTTCATCAACCCTCTCCAGTCATTTTGGTTGTCAGTGCTCAGCCAAAACCAATCTTCATTCGTGTCTTTTGAAAATGTTCAATGCAGTCCGGTCCGGTCGACGAATTTGTCGAAGTCGTGAAAGCTCCGCCTGGCTTCCTTTAGAAACAATGCTCGTCGTTTAGTACTTCAACATACGTTTCGAAGTTGCCGTCGTCGTGTGGGTAGCGCCAGCTCGAAGTCGCCATTGTGGCCTTCTGATGTTTGTTTAGCGTTCCTGTTATGACTTCCTGAGTCCTGCGGCCTGCCCCACACTGAATGTCGCGGGGAAAGTGCAGCTGTTTGGTTGGCCAGAGTTGTATCTGTTAAATTCAGCTTACAAAGTAAACACACGTGAAGAAGTTGTCCCGGGCTTGTGCGCCGTAAGCATTAACGTGGCCGACGGACAACCACTGGCGGACCCGGACATGACAAGCTATTGCAGGGATTTTCGAATAAAAGCACTGTCCATCATCACAAGCTCATAAAGTGCATTCTCGGCCCGGAGCATCGATTTCTGCAAGCCGATAGTTTTATAAAAACTATACGATTTTTCCCAAGCCTC